CACCCTTTTATATTTCCTTCTTCCCCTCGACCCCTTCTCTCCGGCACGCACCGCTTCCCCACTCCGTTTTTCTCTTCTACGCTTTATATATATATATATTTTTTTATACACACTATAGTGCCTTCGTATCTCGGTGTGTATTTACTATACACACACACACACACCGTCCGGTCGACTGACGGTGGAGTCTCTAAAAACCGCGCGCACGAGGGGTAGCGGCGACGGTGACGGCGTGGGCAGAGGGAACAAACGGGAAAAAAAAGGGTGACCGTCGGACAGGAGTATAGCGGCTAAAAAAAAATTACTCGATCGATAACTACTGTGTTGTTTTTTATATAACCCTCTTTTTTTTTTTTTGCCCCGTGTAATTTATAATTATTGTCTTTTTCTTCTCAACGCAACATAGCTCGATATATATATATATATGGGTGCGTACAGCGTGTGTACACACATTACGGGTAGTAAAAAAAAAAAACCGAAACTTAAACGGTAATTTATGACGAACAATAGGGGGCTAGGTCGGTTTTGTTTTTATACTGATAAACGTATGGTACATCACGCGACTATAATACAGAAAAAAAAATACAAATGGAATTTCGATATAATTAAGTTTTAACACAGTCTGCACACGACTAATATATCATTCACCGTTTGACAATTAATATTGTATTGCAGCTCAACATAAACGACTTATCCGCGAGCGAATAACTCGCGGATAAATTGATTGTAACATTTAAATGACTTCAAAAGCCACGGTACAATGAGCTGGGAGACTTAATAGACTTATTTGGACAGTGCACTTGGACATAACGTCTAGAGGGGTGTAAGTGTGGTGCCGAAGTTCCAGAACTTAACCTAACCTAACCAGATGATTCTTCGATTGATATCTAGTGTCACTCTGGGCTAATATTACCCACACAATATAATATAGTGTATATTTTTATGTACAAATAAAGATCGCCATCCGCGACGTTCAACACATTAGGTACATTGTAATAACGCGTGCTGTGCGTTCGTGTGTGTACAATTACTGTACACACACATATGTATAAAAGCGGTGCAGGAGTGGCGCATCGTTTATTCACCCACGAGCCAGTTGCCGCGAGGGGTGGGCTCCTTATTCTATACGTATACCTACCTACCCCTAAAGAGCCGGTACATATTATTATTCCTTTTTTTTTTCATTCGCATAAACTTCAAACCGCTTAACCGCAGTTAGTCACATCCGGTTAACGCACTATCTATGTATAACGTTGAATAGACAACAAAATTGCTTTGCCGAAAACATGTCATTTTATATACACGTGGTTAATGGTACCTATAGTATAATTTTATTACATTTTTATACACTCGTCATACACGCCCTTACAAAAACGACAATCAAATATAAAATATGTCTATCGTTTAAACGATTTATAAAGATAATAAAAAATGTATATGTTAATTAATTACCACGCAATTATAATTTTTCGCGTAAAAATATTGATTTTTTTTTTTTAACATAAGTAACATCTTAGACCTATGAAGTTTGAAAAAGAAGGTGAATCAAAATGACATTTTTTTAAACCGAATAATTTTACATATTTTAATTTTTCATTGAAAGGTTTTAATTATAAGATGCCAACGTAACACAAAAATTAACGTGTTATTCTTTAAAAAAAAAAAAACATTTATATTAACGTTTGCTTTACTGAATTACAATTGCTCGACCTAACCCTAAACGTACTCATGTCTGAGAGGTAATATACAGTTTTATAAATCAATTTATTTTCAGACGACAAGTGAATAGGTTAAATAAAAACGTTATGCTTCCCTAGCTTTTAGAATGAGTACAACAAATGTGTGCTTGTTTTTTTCTTCAAATAAAAACAATTATTTTTCTTTAGGTATACAGTGCAAAAGTCAAAATCAATGTTATATATATTTTATAAATGATATTAGTGTTTCAAAATGTTGATAACAAAAAAATATTTTTAAAACTATTCCACGATATTCTTGAAATATTAATGTTATACCTTGCTGTCTAGGATGTGTGTTTCAAAAGTATATAAAGTTTATCTTCTAAACATGCAAATCCATGTCTATATACTCGTAGCCTACCTTGCTCCACCCCCAAAACCGCAGTCGGCTTTAAAATAAAGACACTTTTCTGAAATTAACTTGACTGTTGCTAAATCATTGGGAACCGAAAGTTTATATCTTGCGGGGTATATGATTGTAATATCGTGCGTACATGGATTCTATCCGCATGTGTTCAGTGTGTTACTGGGACAAGGACGGGTCTGGGTGCGCTACATACACACACACACACGGTCGGATAAACATTTTGATATTCATTCGATAAGAATTAGCCGCTTCTAAACCGCCTACAAAAAAAAAAAAAGCAACTGTCCAAATAGCAGCGGCGCTCGCGTTTACTTATCGGTTATGAATTTTAACAAAAACCCCCGTTTAGCCTATATATGTTTTTTTTGTTCCGTATACATATAGGTACATTATATTATTATACAGTGTGGTTCGTCTATTATTTTTGAATTGAATGCGAAAAAAAAACGTTTTCATCAAAAAAACGGGTTCTGATACGGTTGATACTGTACTTATGAGTTTATTCCCCGCATTTGCTATAATTGTATATATATATATATATTCCTACTATGTGTACTGGGCCGCCCACCTTTTGCCCCGAGGACTTGCCGATTGCCGCCGGGGAACGGCACAACGCGGGAGAGAGGTAACAATTCAGCACATGGCCCACTTCAGCAGAGCCATCAGAGACAACGGAACATTATACGTTTCCTGGTTTAGGGAAAAAAAGTATTTCTGTTGATAAAAAAAAAACCCCTTTATTACTCTTTCAATTGTCGTGTGCCCACGTCGGATCACAAAGCATTTCACGTTTCAGGAAACGGGTTTTTGGCAAAAAAAAAAAGAAATAATAATAAAACAGTCTTTTCTACTCCGGTCTCCCCTAAACAAAAAAAAAAAAAAAATGATATAAAGGGGTTGATTAACTCCGGTTAATCCGCAACAAAGGGTTGGTGGCCATTGAGCGAATACCTTCTATTTTATTATTGTATTTTTTTACTAAGTTTTTTTTTTTTAGTACGTGTCACCACCGCCGGAGTTTCCTCATTCGTGAAATGGTTACAAATCATTTAAGAGGTAACCGTTTCCTATATAATATGTGTGCGCTACATAAGTCCTGGACGGGAGAGGGGGGCTCACTCGCGTGCCATATATAACACACGGAAACGTTTTTGTCCGGCGACGTGGTGACAATAATAATAATAATTTTTCAGCCGTTTTTCATTTTCTAGCCTCAACACTAGATATAGTACTACTACACCCTTCCCGGGCTTTAAAATTTATTGCGTTTTAAACGCCGTTTGCCGGCCACAAACATAATGCACTTGCACGCACAATTTGCGACGTTTATTCGACGTACAGCAGTATATAATATTATATAGATGCAATTTATTATTTTTCAAAAAAAAAAACACTGCGAAACACGAATAAATTGGTAAACCTCAAAACGATTTATAAGTACGGCTTAAAAGTTGATAATAAAAAAAATGTTAGAAAATAATTTAAAATAATAAATACATGACCTAAAAATGTCCTAAACGTCTGAAAAATTTTCAATAATTACTTTTTATTTAAATACACCTTATACTCTTTATAAACAATACAATTTATAAAAACAATTTTACAAAGAAAACATTTTTTAATACAAGATTTAGGTGATTAATTTCATTATTGAAAATGTATGTGTATGTTTAATTGACGGACTTCTGACAAAATATTTAGAGTAGGTTTGTGATTAGTGTTAACTTCTCCCCTTCCTCTCAAGAAAAAAATAATGTTTAATTCCTTCTCAAATAAAAATTTGACTCCCATAAAACATCTTATCGTTAGGGCAGGTTATGTTATTCATTATTAAAAAATATTTAATCCCTGAAAGTACAAATTTCGATAGGGGGATAAAATGAGTGCTAATGACCGTCTTATCCTCTCATGATTACCCCGTAAGAATAAAATTATAAAATAATAAATATTTAAAAAACCTGCAACCACAAAAAAAGAAAAATAATACACTACAGCACACAATACACATAGCTACCAAAATATGGGTTAACGCTGTGTAAAATGTACCTAATTTTTTTCCCTTTTTTGTGATTAATAAAAAAATGAATTATTAATGTTTTTAAAAAAATTATTTACCTATCTACAATTTGTTCTTTGGCGGCACACCGTACAATTACTAAACAATATAATAAAATAATACACGTATATATATATATATATATATATATATATATATTATATTTGATATAAACTACCAATTCTTACTTTGTACCTGCTGCGAAAAGGTCATCTACTGCTTGCAAACACAACCCCAAAACATAACGGGATTCTTATTTTTTCTTTTTATTAATTTGGCAAAGAAACCGTTCTTTGCCGAGGGTTTCTGTTCGGTTTGTTTGAACCCTCGAAGCATTTTTTTCATTACTTTTTTTTTTTGCAATGCATTAACCCATTTTCGTAGGATTTCTCTCATTTTCCATTAAAAAAAAAACACCCCCCCGTACGCGGATCTTCAAAAAAAAAAAGGAAACACATGCTCGATATAACGGCAGATTTTTGTTTTCAAAGGAAAAAAGGTACACTGCAAACAAGCGGAGAAATTCGAGAATTTTACATTCTACGCTATATATTATATAGGTCATAATCCGCAAACATAATAATATGACGAACCGAGAAGGGATAAAATATAATACCACGTTATATGTGAGTATACAATAATAAAACGCGGAAGTATAATGTTTTTAAAGATTTGAGCACTTTTATTATTCAGACCATAACTCAAAATACTTTAACAAAATAATAATAATAATAATAAATATATATTTATATACCTAAATAATTAATTAATTTAAAAAAAATGGCACGATGATAAATGTCAATAATTGTATACAATAAAATATAATATCGATGTCAGTTAAATAATAATGTGTGTTTGTATATTACAACGTAAACACTTTCCGTTTAACAAATGAGTAGGTAGGTATATCGTCTAATTATTTGTATTAAAATTTAAATTACCACAAGACAAAAAAAAAATATTATTTCGATAGGTTAATATATATTATATACGCTATTATATTATTTTCACACGACAGTGAAAAATGGAACAGACCACAAAACACAAACAACACTATTATTTTTTTTTAACCACCAAGTTATGAAATTAATAATAATAATTATATTATTGTAATATAATGAGCTAACATTTTTCCCCAATGTTATCCTCCACAAATATCAGTCTTAATTTTACGACAATTTGTACAACACGTTGATAATAGTATCATTAATATCAGTGATGAAATATAAACATGGAATAGATAATATCATATTTGATAAAATATATTCGTTGTTATAAATACAGGAATAGAAAAGTTGGGCTAGACATTAATTTAAAAAAAAATAGTAATAATAATAATAAAAACAATTATATCACATACGCACTTGTACTTTACATAACAAAATGGGAATGTTATTGAAACAAAAAAAAATATATATAAATATATTCAGACACAATGTTAAGATAAAATTAAAATATTATATGTACAATTATTATTAACACAAATTTCATCGCTGCCGCCCCTACTTTTAGTTTACCGGTGAAACGCCTAGCACCAACATAATTTACACATTATGCATACACGACAAAAGTGATGTGGTGGGGCGGGTGTACCCGACGGTCTTTTTAAATTAAAATAAGAAATATACATACATTCATATATACCAATATTTTAGCCTACAATAACTACTGTACAGGTTTATTTTATATATTTTTTTATATGTATTGCACAAATTTTTTGATTAACGTCAGAAAAAAAAAAAAGAAAAGAAAATCTACATATTACCGGCAAAAAAAAGTTTGAGCTGTTAAGTTACGCGTTCAATAAATTAAAAAAAAAAACACGACATCATAGGCGTGGAGGGGGGGGGCGTCGTGGCCATTGGTATTTCGTTTCCTTTCCCTCATTTACACGCGGCTGTCAGTGCTGGTTATTTACACGTGAGGTCCATGGCCAGGTCGACGGGCTGATCCGTTCGGGTTACGTCGACGATCATGCCGTGGCGTTTGACGTCGACCACGGTGTCCGACCGGGGCTTGACGGACAAGTCCTCGGGCTCGGTCTGTTCCGGTGACTGGAACTGTCCGAATTGCTGTTCGGCACGTTCCGGTGACTGGAACCGGGCGATGAACTGGAGGTAGTGGTACGGCTCGATGGTCGGCACGCTGGGCACGGGCGGCGACACTGCCGGCGGTTGGTGCATGTACACGGCTTGCGGTTGAGGCGGTGGCGATGACCAGTAGTTACAAGGTATGGTGGGTGGGGGCGACGGTGGCGGGGAACCGTGCGTGGCCGGCGACCACGGCATCGACGTGGACGGTTCCGTTTGGTCCGACAGAACTGTAGTTTGCGGAACGACCGTCACGTCCTTGTTGTTATTGTTGTTGTTGTTGTTATTGTTAGCTCCCCGTCGACGTTTTTGCGTCGGCTTGACCACACCGCCGGCGACGGCGCCGCGGGGCTTGCTGTTTTCCTTGTGCTGCCGCTTGTGGTCTTTGAGTTCGGCGGCCGTTTCGAAATAGGCGACGCAGTACTCGCAAGGGTGCGAGTTTTCGCCAGTGTGCGTCTTTAGGTGCCGCCGTAAGTTGGCCACCTGGACGAAAAACCGGTTGCAGTGCGGACACCAGAAGGGTTTTTCGCCAGTGTGCAAACGTACGTGTGTCTTAAGGTGGTGGTCGCGGGTAAAGCATTTTTTGCACACGGAGCACACGAAAGGTTTTTCGCCGGTGTGCGTCCGCTCGTGGTTTTGCAGAACATGTTTGTAGCCGAACTCCTTGCCGCACACAGTGCACTTGAACGGTCGGGTCTGTCGCTGTCGGGTGGATGCCGTGGACGGCGGGTTGGACGACGACGTGGACGACGCCACCGATGATGTTTCGTCGTCTACGACGGGGGCCGCGGCCGCCGCTGGCGGCTGGTTGTTGTTGCGTCGGTCCAGCCAGTCTGGGTGTAAGTCAAACACTTGTCGCATGATCTGCAGAAGGACAACGTCGGTGGTTGTGGGCGCCGCAGCCTCACGCTGCTGTTGTTGCGCGCCGCAATTGTCCTTCAGCCGGTGGTACGCGTCCACGAACAGCGAACGCACTTCTTGTTCGTCTCTGGGCAGATGACCAATATTGTAACGTTCTAGTAGCGCGTTTAACACTATATGTATCTGATCGTCGTTTACATTTCCTGCAATCACAAATAAAACATTACACGTTAATAAAATGTATAAACCAACATCGTGTAAATATTTAGTGGAAGTCAAAGGCAATTACAAAGGGATGGCTTAAGTAATTCTAAAATCGTTAAAACAATTTTGGTAGATAACCATAAATTATAAATTAAGTACTCAAAAAACAATATTTTATAAATATATTGAAGTATACATTTCTTAACGATTACCTAAATTTATATAATAAAAACATCCTCTTAACGTTGTTAGTGTATGAAAAAAATTAATCTACATTTGTTTGTTTAAGTACATTATAACGATTAATTTATCAATTAACTAACTAATTAATTTAATAAAAATCAAAAAATGTATTTAAAATACATATACATTAAACGACGTTTATGCGATTATGGTAATTATAATTATTTATTAATTTGTTTATATTATTTTAATACTAATTAATTAATTCACAGAGATTAATTAAATTTGACGTTAAAAACAATTAATTATTCAAGCATTACCCGACACGTAATCGTTTATCGACTTAATTTGGTTCTAATTGTCTTTTGATGTCAATTATAAGTATTATTATTTAATATTGAGAGTTTCAACGATAAACTTTCGTGTTACTACCGTTAATAAACATATTATACAATAATAATAACAACAATGTTTTTTAACACTACATACAGGTACACTATCATTATAGTTAATGTGGTCTTTCGGAAAAGAAAGGAGTAAACATAACAAAACAGGGTCTATAGTAATATTATATTGGTATAGGTCACGCGAGGAGGAAGCTTTAGCATGTTATTATTATTATATAGGACGGAGATTCCGCGTAAAGAGATATGATTGTTTTCGATCCGACAAGATTATTGTAAAACCGTATGGTCTACCTCACACCGGTACCTAATAAAAGTCGCTTCTTTTTACCTGACCTTTTTCCTACCGAGAAGGCGGACCGTCGTATCTCGGCACTCGTTATCACACTCCGTCGTATGATCGAAACCTCAAGAAAATAATATAATATCTACTATACCGTGTCCGGCCAATACACACACATACAATCTAATACCTACCGTAGTATAATAATACATGTATACTATACAAACAACGTAAACGTGTGATAATGTTTGTCTAATAAAAACCCGCTTGACTTGCGACAGTCAAATTGTATTCAAAGGCAACGTTTCCGGTTTGCCTATCGTTTCAACAAAAAAACAAACCGATAAACATTTTGTATTTGTTTTACGAGGCAGATAATAATATTTTATTATTATTATTATTTTCCACCGAATATCGGAGAGTTGAAAAAAAAAAGGCCAAATAAAATAATAGCAATAATAGTCCAGCGATAAAGGCGTATTTTAGATGATTAACGGTAATAATACATCTATAACACGGTAAATAGTAACAGAAAAGCCATTGAAACCGTATCATAGTCGACCGGGTTTTTCGTTGATATATTTTTAGTATTAACGGTCGTTGAATTAGTAATTACCCTTTCGCGTTATTATATTCAAAACGAGTTCGGATTTCTACTTTTAAGATAACAAGCTGGCCGATCGCCGACAACAACGGTCAACTTGTCTAGGCTAGCTGGTATAATATGATACACACACAATATAAGTGTAATATTATATGCTTAGATAAAATTTTATATCAAAACGTATTGAACTTCATTGCTTGTACGATTTGAGAACGAAATTAACGTGGTCTAGTATTTTTAAATAACAGCAAACAACGGATTTGTTGTACTCGCTACAATTAACTTATTAAATCTAAAATCAAAACTACTTGTTTACTATTAGAACATGAAAACCGAAACTATTGGATTAAGTAACTTAATATAATGAGAATAATACTGGTAAATAATAGCGGTAATGGTAAAAAACAAAAATGAATATTTTAAGTTAAGGCTGATCAGAAACCAATCGAAATGCGACAATTACAGTACAAGTTAATAATTAATAAGCGATATATACCCTTGATGGTCATGTCGTCCACGTCCGCTGAGGATGTCATGAACGGCTCGGACTTGGGGGTCCCCAAAATGGGCGCCATCAGACTATCATATAACACCATATAAACAACTGGGTGTCGTGGGTGACGAGACGAACGTGTCGTGTGTGCGTCGACGGTGAATCACACGCGGGCTCGCGCTGGGCGGCGTCGAGCACTCGGGTGATTGGACGGCGAGTTGGACAAAACGAACGGGAAAACAATTAACTGCGTCTAATCGGCGGCGAACACTAACGCGGGCACACAGACACGCGGACGTACAGGTGTGTGTGCTCGGAGCGGTTTGCGAGTCTCGAGTGTTCGCTGGCGAGGGAGTCTGCGACTTCGGAGTCGGTCGCGCGGGAGAAGATGAACAAGAGAGCACGGCTGAGCAACGACGACGTTCACTGTCGGCGCACACGGATGACACTGCGTTGCGATGCGATGTGGTGCGGTGTCGTTTTGCCGGATTTTTGGAAACCGGCTCGCGGACCCCGCACAGGGTGGGTGGGTGGGCGGGCGGGCGGCGCGAGGGGTCCGGCGTGTTGGCCCCGCCCAGTTCGTTCCCACCGCCGCCGGACGCCGGCAAATGGGGTGGAAGTAGGGAAGTAAACACGCGGCCCGCGCCGATTTTCCTACTTCGCTGGCCGCTCGCTCTCTCTTACGGGGTTTCTAATTTTTTTTTTATTGTTGTGCATTACTTTTTTTTTTTCCTTTCCAAACGACACATTTTACTTTTTTATTATCATTACTTCTACTACCGGTCTTTCGATTTTCTGGCTAGGAAGGTCGTCTCAGGCTACGCAGAGGACCTCGGGCACACAGAGTTTGGAGGGCCTGTAAGAGGAAAACGAAAAAAAAAAAACGTACAGATGTAAATTGTACATAATTCGGGGCTGGGGGCCCTGGGCTCGTAAGTGCCCCCACGTGCCCGGCGCTCTTGGGGTAAAGATGAAACTGGTGGCTAGTGTTTACATAATAATATAATCCCATATTATTAACAATATGATCGCTGATTTTCTCTGCGTCGACTACACGAGTTGAGGTAACTGCGGTTGTACCACAAGCGTCTATAATGTTAATAGTATTCGTTAGAAATAACATGCGGAAAATCGTAGTAATTACAGACTGGTTTACCGGTTATAGTGCCGCGAAGCAAGGTTTGACAAGGTCCTGGACAGACCAAAAATCGGCCTTTATGGTATGTCGTTTAAGATACAACAGCCCAACAACTTGTGTAGGGCTCTCATAGGAGAACGCTCGAGCCAGACCAGTGAAAATAAATGCGCCTTAACATGGTCACTAACTAACAAGTCAGTATAGCTACATCGACAATAGATATGCATACGCATTTGTTTAGCGCTTTTGGACGGCGAGCTTGTCCAAAAATATACAAATATGTGAAAACTGCGTATAATGTAATGCCTTAGTCTTTAAAATAATTATTTAAGAAGGTCGCCTAAAGTGTCGGTAAACCCGTATATATTTTAGTATGACTCTTATATACACATTGAACTGTTCTGCAAGTTTTAGATTATGTACTAATATCGGTTGCATTGCAACAATTATTATCATTTCAATTGTAAACACTGCAATATAATATGCAATCATTGCAATGCCAATTGAAACATTCATTCGACCAGTGCATCGATATGGGTCTACTATATTTTATTAGGTGTATACTAATTAGTAATTACTATTAAAAGTATAAAATGTTATTGTTTTCCTTACATACAGCAAATGATGATATGTAAATTAGGAGACCGAATAGGTGAGATTTCAGCAACACGTTTCCGGACCGAACAGAAAGGACGACATACCTGTTTCGAGAGACCTTTGTACCACATAAAATTGTATTTGCATTATACCGTACGATTCCATGAGAGCAATGTGTAACAGGATTAGACTATGGCGACAGCGCGTAGCAGGTATACAGGAAATAGTATGGTTGTTGCATTATATTATAGTAACGAAGCCTTTGCAATGAAGAATTTTCATGAATCACATTATTAGGTAGCTCGATGACCTAAAAACCATTAGTGTTACCCATTTCAAACCTCATCATTTTTTTTAAAGTCTAAAGCAAGCGTGACAAGTGTCTTGCATATACCGGGAAACGGTTTTTTATCGACATTGAATAATCTTTTTAAATATATTATATATTGACCACAAGACCTTTTTTTTTTTTAAAACATAAAAAAAACCTATATTGTGTACTTTGTTCTATAACAAACATTTAACGGCTATGAGTTTGTTATTCTCGCAATCTGATACTCTCAAAAATATATGACCCTTAGGATTTGCAGCTATACAAAAAAGACAAACGAGTTTTTTTTGCCCCTGAAACTTTTGCAATAATAAACAAACCTTTTACACGCAATGTAGTATGACTAATTTTTACTCAATAAAATAAAAATAAAAAAGAACGCAACCCACCAAAAGAAATATACTTAGGATAATGCGTTACATATTTATAATGTATAAGTTGTGCCGTAAGCAATGCTAATACACCGAGCGATGGCCATTGTTTGTCGTTAGAATACTTATTAGTATGAGAATATATACAGGTAACGCCGTGTGACTAAACTATAGTATTTGAATTGTTATAGTCAAAATAGAAGGTATACATATTATTAATTATTATCTATATATTATTATAGCCTTAGGTACCTAATAATTGGAATTTGGAATATGTGATTTTGAATATGTTCAATCATAGACAAATTTCTCAACTCGATTATTATAGAAAACAAAGAAATATTCTGGCTACGGGAAACCACCGCATCATACCTACTTACCCAGGACGGCAACTCTTGTCTCTTGTACAAGAGTTGTCAAACCGACCTAAAAAGGTTGGAAAAAAAACTTTATGTGTAATAAAGGTTTATGAAAAACTATAATAAATTATGCTTACCCGATATTAGAGTCTGGGCAGCAACTATATGCTCGCCGCACGGTGACCACAAAATAAATGACAAACCGATAATTTTAATGTTATCAAAATGTATATTCCAAGTTAATGATTTTAGACTATGGACTCTATTAAATATTCTATTTATAAAGTACTTGCATCAGATATAATAACATCTAACACGGGACGCTTCAATTAATATTGATAATACTAAGGCAAAACTCCTTAAGCATTAATTTTACCTATAGACATTAAAGAGATTTATATAAAAACGTGAATAATACAAATACATACGAATTTGAAATGCGAAATTTGTGGTCAAGACAAACGATTCCTGGTATCTATGTAGAGAATTTATTTTTTTATTTTGTTTTAACAATTTTTGGGACAAAATTTTGTTAGGTAATAGTTTGTTTACGTTACACGGACTTTACAATTTTTGAATATGTCGATGACCAATTTGTAGCTTAATACACAAAAGTAAAATATTTCATTAAAACACATTATCGAGTTTATAGTATAATAATAAATTGTTTTATACAGAAAAAAAACCGTACGACACAATGTCCTATGTGTAATAATAGTCGCTACTGTCTACTGCCTTTTTTTGGACTACATGATTCATATCTACATATATAGAGTATATACTGTGATTATGACATAGTGACAACGTTTACTATACTCTTTGCAAATATTTCATTTGAGATTATCAGGTTTTATTTTTAAACATGTTAAATAAAAAAAACCTAAATTGCGTTGGCTGTTATAATAGAAAAAACTCACGGGTTCTACTTTTACCCGATGTATAACGTCTAGGTCGAATAACATCTTGGAGATAACGCACAACGCAGTAAACGTCGCCGTCCGTTTTTTATTTTTTGCGAACAGCTCAGGGTAAACACTTTGATTTGGGTCTACGCAAGAGAGCAGAAGAGGAAAAAAATAAGAAAAGAAACGAATTGCCATTATTTGTTGTAAAATTAAGTCGAAACTAACTTATATGTATACAACATGGCGTGGAGTTATTGCGAACAAAAGGCACAACAGTGTAACTGTAAATCATATAATGTGCTCTTTTTTTTTTTCCGGAGCTCCGGTTTTACACGGGTTCCTAATTCCGATAGATCATTAGACCATCTCCGCAGGAAGTAAGTGAAAACTGCACGGAGAAGAAGAAGAAAAGGTAAAAAAAATAGAAAAAAAAGGTCATCGGTGCCAATTGGACATGACCGTACGAAAAAACTGCACTGCACTCTGCGCGAGACCACACAACGAACCGCAAACAGTCATCGCCGAACATCATTTCATTGTGTTAACAAAGTACACATGCGATAATAGTAATAATAATGATAAAAAAAAAAAAAGGGGATGTTTATTTTTTTATAAATATATTTTTTTACCATATTATTATTGTGATGAAAAAAAAACGAAGACGCACTTGCACACATAATAATAATCAATATAACGTACACATACGGTTCCGTCTAATAGACCTGACGACGGATGCGTTGTGAGTGTTGTTTGCGTCCCACGTTGTGTAAACCGCTTGCACGCACGACAAATCTCAAGTCCACAACCTTTTTTACATTGTGTCCGGGATCGGTCGGACCGCCTAAAGTTTGCGTTTGCTTTAAAAAAAAAAAAAAAATACATTACATACAATAAGCTCGAGGGGGGTTTTTAAAAGTAGTTTGTTTTTTAGATACATTGTATACATGCAACGGATGATGATGCGAGGTCGGTTTTAGCCTACAGGTTAGGTTCGACGTTTACTCATGCGGACGTTTAGAACATGTACCACGTGTTGGAAATTCGATAACAAACGCACAAACCGTGCAGTGAAACTTTACACGTCCGAACCCTTGCGTGTGTATATATTATACTTACCTTGCAAATTGCGCGTGACTTGGATGCACAATACCTAATCCCGCTAACGAACCAATTAACTTCAATGTGTACGTACGATATGCACTGGCCGCAAGTCGTCTGTCCCGTAGCTACACGCCGAAATCTCGGTGGGAATTACAAAGGGAAAAAATCTTAGTGTCTCTTAGAGCTCTAATTATATTGCAAATTCCTTCCGGTAACGGCAAATCTGGGCAACCGAGTATTTAATTTTTAACCAGTTAGAATTAGTTAAATTACTTGGAATTGATAATTCGTACAAGTAACTTTCACGTTTCAAAGTAACATACATAGTTACCTACATACAAGCTATAGGGAATAAAATTACCATCTAAGTTATAAACAATAATAAGTCAATATTTATGAAACATTTTATCTTTTTTTAAAATTAATTTAGAAATAATTTAGCAAACTTTGAAAGCAATAAAGTATCAAACGTTAATATCCAAAGTGGTACCTTTTCTTTGTTCTGATAGTTGTCCATCAGCGCTAAAAGGATGTTTTGAACTAAGAGGGGTTTAAGCAAAATATGTCTCCAAGACAAATTTTAAGTATTTAAATTTGGTAAGTGTCTGCCCTGTTAATTTTTCATATT